AAGAAAAATTCTAAAGTACTTTTTAAATGAAAAAGCTAAATTAATCAATCCCAGAATAAGCAAATACCTTTCCATGGTATTGTGATGCCTCATAGCTTTTTTGGATAATGATGAACATTGAATAAATGAATAAATACCTCATTTTGGTTTGTTTTTAATTATTCTATTTATTTTACATTGCAGCCACAGTCTACCCCATCCTCCTCTCCTAGTCCTTCCTACTATATCCTCTCTCCACGCGTCCTCAAACTCCTCCTCTTCTGTCTCCATCCAGGACAGGGTAGGTCTTCCATGAGTATCAATAAAATACAGCATATCAAGTTGCAGTAAGACTATGTATCACCCACCGCATGCATTAAGGCTCTACAAAGTGACCCAGTATGAGGAGAAGGGTCCAAAAAGCCAACAAAGAATTAAAGACACTCAATGTTCCCTCTGTTCTCGTTGTTAGGAGTCCCACAAAGTATCAAGCTGTACAACCGTAGCATACATGCAGAGTGGTCATTCCCTTGCAGGCTTCTTGTTTGTCAGTTCAGTCTCTGTTAGCCCCTAAGAGCCCAGGTTAGTTGAGTGGGTGAGCCTTTCCATGGTATCCTTGACCCCTATGGCTCATATACTCCTTTCTTCTCCTCTGCAAGATTCCAGAACTATGCCTAAAGTTTGGCAGTAAGGTCTTTGCATTTGCCTTGCCGCCATCAGTTGCTGGAATGCACCTCTCTGATGACAACTGGGTCAGACACCAGTCTGGTCACAGCGGATATCCAGTTCAGGCTACTTAACCACTATCGCTATTGTTAATAGTCTAAGGTTGGGTCCTCCATGTAGATTCCTGGGAAACCCCCTTCCCCAGGCTTCAACCACTGGAGCCCTGGATTGTGCCCCCTCCAGCCGTTCCCCTCAGCACTTTCCCCCGTAGTGTCCCTCCTAACCTGATGGCTCAAGTTCCATCCTTTCGCTCAGTCCGGTCAGAAAACCTCTTCTATTTTCCCTTTACAGGGAGATCTGGGTGTAATCCCCCAACTCCTGCCGGCCTCCGGCCCCCATGAACACTCCTTGTTACCTGGTCTCTCTGGGTCTGTGGATTGTAGCATCGTTCTCTTTTATTTTACAACTAATATCCACTTATGATTGAGTACAAACCGTGTTTGTCTTTCTCGGTCTGGGTTACCTCACTCAGGTTTATTTTTCTAGTTCTATCCACTTGCCTTCAAATTTTCTGGTGTTCTTGATTTTAACAACTGATTAATACTCACTGTATAAATGTACCACATTTTCTTTATTCATTCTTCAGTTGAGGGACGTCTAGGTTGTTTCCAGATTCTGGCTGTTATAAATAAAGCTACTATGAACATAGTTGAACAAATGTCCTTGGAATGGTTGAACATCCTAAATGCCCAAGAATGGTATAGCCAGGTCTTGTGATAGGTTGGTTCTCCGTTTTCTGAGAAACTGCCACAATAAATTTCAAAGTGATTGTAGAAGTTTGCACTCCCACCAAAATAGCAGAGTGTTTCCCTTATTCTACATCCTCTCCAGCATAACTTGTAGTTGATCTTATCTATCTGACAGGCTTAAAATGGAACCTCAGAGTCATTTTGGTTTACATTTCCCTGATGGCTAAGAATGTTGAACATTTCCTTAAAGAGTTTCTCTACCATTTGAGATTCTTCTGTTGAGAATTCTCTGTTTAACTCTGCATCCTATTTTTTAGTTGGAATATCTGGTTTGTTGATGATCAGTGTCTTGATTTTTTTTATATATTTTGGAAATCTGTTCTCTGTTAGATGTGACGTTGGTGAAGATCTTTTCCCATTCTTTAGGCTGCCCTTTTATCCTATTGACAGTGTCCTTTGCCTTACAGAAGCTTTTCAATTTTTGAGGTTCCATTTATAAATTGTTGATCTTTGTGCCTATGCTATCCGTGTTATGTTCAGAAAGTTGTCTCCTGTGTATTTAAGATTATGTCCCACTTTCTCTTCTATTATGTTCAGTATAACTGGATTTATGTTGAGGTCTTTGATCCATTTAGACTTGAGTTTTATGCAGAGTGATGAATATGGATCAATTTGCATTCTACATACCAACATCCAGGTAGATTTGCACCATTTGTTGAAGATGCTTTCTCTTTTCTATTGTATAGTTTTGGCTTCCTTTTGAAAGTGTGTGGATTTACATCTGGGTCTTCAATTTGATTCTACTAATTCACTTTATTGTTTTTATGCCAATATCAAGATGTTTGTATCATATAGCTCTGTAGTAAATCTTGAATTCAGGGATGGTATTACCACCAGAATTTCTTTTGTTGTACAGGATTGTTTCAGCTATCCTGAAATTTTTTTGGTTTTCCATATGACATTGAGTATTGTTTTTCCAAGGTCTGTAAAGAATTGTGTTGGGAATGCATTGAATCTGTAGATTGCTTTTGGTAAGATGTTGATTTTTGTTATGTTAATTCTACCAATCCATGAGCGTGGGAGATTTTTCTGTCTTCTGATATCAACTTCAGTTTCTTTCTTTATTGACTTGAAGTTCTAGTCATATAGGTCCTTCACTTGCTTGGTAGAGTGACTTGAAAATATGTTGTATTATTTGAGATTATTGTAAATTAATTTTTTCTCAGCCCTCTTATTGTTTGTATATAGGATGGTTACTGAATCCATTGATGTTTAGTGATATGAATGACCAATGACTACTAATTCCTGTTATTTTGTTGATGGTGGTGTTTGTGTGAGTGAGTGTGTGTTTGTGTGTGTGTGTGTGTGTGTGTGTGTTTCCCTTCTTTGGGTTTTGTTGGTTTGAGATTATCTATTGCCTATACTTATCTTCCTGGGGTTGGAGTTTTTCTTCTAGCACCTTCTATAGGGCAGAGTTTGGAATAAATAACTCTTGAAGAAAGGATTCATGAAACAATTGTAACATCCACATAGAAATCATAATAGATTTTGAAACATTGAAATTACTTATGTTTTTGACCACGTGTTACTCAGAACTCAAGTTTGACTTTGAAAAGTGTGCAATGGCCACAAAGTAAATGATAATTAAAATCTGGAGATGGAATGGACATTATTTAGTGTTCTAGCTGTGGCTAGAGAACTCTGATTTTCAGCATGTGTTTCCATTCAAAATGACTTAGAGTAATGTTCAGTTACTGATCACCTACATTTATGTGTCTATCTTTAGTGTTTCCGCAAATGTGACCTTATATTTATTATAAAGCTTATCTTTAATTTGCATTATATTCCAGAAGACTTGTAAATAGAGTTATCCTTGTTGAAGGATTAAAGGTTATTCTAATTTTACTATTTATCCATTGTTTTTGGATCCCTTCTAAAGGAAGATGAATAGTAATAAACATAAGACTGAACTATATTAATGCATTAGCAAAGGTTAGGGAAACTGTTTGTACATTGGCCTATGCCATCTATTCCTTCTAAATCTTATCTGAGAGTGTGACATTTAGTAAATGTAGAATGGAGTTCAATGACAAAAGTCCTAATGGAGACTCCTTTTTGCCTCAAATTTTGGAACCCATATTCAAGAATGATTATTAGAATGTGATTTGTGATGTGGTCCACTGATTCACATCAATGATTGAAAAGACAGCACAAAATAGTTTTATTGTTTCTATGGCTGTGTATATGCTGTTATTTTCTGCATAGGAAACATGAGTAAGACAAGAGGGTCAACTAAACATAATAGAAAGACATTAAGTATATTGGGCCTTTAAGTCATTGCCGATTGCCAGACATGTTACAGGATTATAGTAACACATCAAATTCTAACAGGGAGTACTACTTCTTGTATTTCTATCTCACTTAACTTTATCCCCCAGGCACATGTGCACACACACATGCACACACACACACACACACACACACACACACACACACCCAACTCATAAAAACATGGTCAAGTAGCAAATAAAATACTTTCTGTGTAAGCTTTAATTATTTCAAGTAGTGTGAATTGGGTATACCAGTAGGTATATAAAGTTCTGATTTATTCCAGATCATGGAAAGTCTATTTTCCACCCAATAGACATAAATAAGAACATTTAGTAATTCCCTCCAGAGGCCAAAGCAAATCAAGACAGATATCCAGGGCATATTTCAGTAGTAATTTGCATTATCATCTTTAATGTAATGCCTGGTATAGTGTATTCAAATGCTAAAACTAAATAACTAAATGATTCTGGTGGGACCACTGGTAAAGCTAATCTTTTTTCAAGGCTTTATATTTATTTTTATTTTATGTGTTTGACTATTTCAGCAACATGTATGCCTGGTGCCCATGGAGGTCAGAGTAGGTCTCCAAATCTCTGGAAGTGGAATTACAGATGTTTGTGAGCTGCCATGTGAGCACAGATCTGTAAGGGTAGTGAAGGATGTTAATCACTCTAGCATCTCTCCACCACAGAGCCAACATTTATTAAGTACTCACAAATTGTTATTTCTGTACCAAATACTTTAAAAGTCTTACTTTGTTAATTCTCACACTGGTCCTAAATACTAGTCCTGTTTTGCATTTTAAAGGTTATACCTATAAAACACTTGGTCATAGCAGTGGTCCCTTTGAATTTAAAGCTTAAACTTGTGCAACTCATTGCTATTTCTCCTTTGCCACAGATTTTTCTCATGTGTTTTTTTTTGTTTTGGGTGCTCACTTCAGACAGATAAAACTTGTTTATTATAAGACATGGTTATCTGTGGGTCATCAAGATGATCAGGCTTAATATATATCATTTATTAATTTTTGTATGTATATGTGTATTTCAATTTACTTATTTGCTTCAACTGAAGATCTGTGTTTCCTGAAACAATACTGAAAGAAACAAACATCTCATTGTTACATTCCAGTCCAGAGCATAATGTGTAACAGTTTCTAGGCACAATGAGACAATCTTACTCTTTCTCAATTTATTAAAGCAATGCTATTTATTGTTGGGCTGTGCCAAGTATTTCGGATGTCTTTGAATACAGACTTGGTGAATTCTTTTACAGAAACAGTCATTAAGTTCTCCCACTCCTGAGGCCACCAAGTTCTCATCCTTCAAAATGAAATCAACGTGATCCGAATGTTGCTCAAATCAGCATCTGAGAGGGAGGAGAAAGGTCACTCATGAATGGAATCAAGCTCTGACTACTTTGCAAATAATCAAGTCACACTGTAAGTCCTGCACTGCTGATTTAACGTGTGGGAACAAGAGAGAGAGGAAGAGGGTTAGAATGCTGGAGACAGCTATGTGCCTACCAGTCTCATAAAATTCTCTTTGTAATACAGGGGAAAAAAATCATGCTGTTGGAAATTATCCAAAATTTTCTGCAGTAACTTGCTTCTCATACAATTTGATGGGTTATCTGTGGTTCTTGAAATTTGAATGATTTCACAGCAACAATATTTTTTTACTAATTATAAATGAATAACCTATGACCCACATTGGAGCACTGGACTTAGCTCCTAAGGTCCAAATGAGGAGTACAAGGAGGGAGAACATGAACAAGGAAGTTAGGACCACAAGGGGTGCATCCACCCACTGAGACAGTGGGACTGATCTAATGGGAGCTCACCAAGGGCAGCTGGACTAGGAGTGATGGAGCATGTGATCAAACTGGACACTCTGAATGTGGCTGGCAATGAAGGCTGACTGAGAAGCCAAGGACAATGGCACTGGGTTTTGATTCTACTGCATGGACTGACTTTGTGGGAGCCTGGTTTGTTTGGATGCTCATCTTTATAGACCTGAATGGAGTGGGGAGGACCTTGGACTTCCCACGGGGCAGGGAACCCTGACTGCTCTTAGGACTAGAAAAGGAGGAGGAGGTGGAGAGGGGGAGGGAAAAGGGAGGCAGGGAGGAGGTGGAAATTTTAAATAAATAAATAAATAAAAGAGCAAACCTACAAAATAAGAATCATATCTTTTTGTAAGACACACAAGAAGGAAAGAAGTGGTGTACACAACTTCTTAGTAAAAATGAATCACCTTTGTGGTCTGTTGTTTTAGGGGTTTATGTTACCTTAAGGATCTTATAGTTGACAAATAGAATAGAAGTGGTTCACCATCTTCAGAAGTTTTCACAAAATCTCTTACAATCAAAATTCTCTGTAGTGAAAAAGCAAAAAAAGCTTATGTTGGCAATTTCAAATAGAACACAAGGCCATTGAAATCAATTATGCCTGTTACAGAGGGTATGCTATGCAGCAGTGTGAAAAAATTGTCATTGATTTTTCTGTTATCTTATATACACAGATGTAGACTAACCCCCACAAAAATAATTTCAACTAAAACTGACATATAAATCTAGTTTGAAGCTTACATCTGTCAGTCAAATAAATTATTAAACTATTCAAAAGTCATAATGGTTTATATTGAAATTTGCCTATAAATATAAAACCACTAACTTAATATAACACCACTAAACTCTTTGCTGGAAACATCCACTTATCTACTGCACCATTGTTTTCTTTCTTTCTTTCTTTCTTTCTTTCTTTCTTTCTTTCTTTATTTATTTATTAAAAATTTCCACCTCCTCCCCACCTCCCTTTTCCTTCCCCCTCCCCACCTCCCCCTTCTTTTCTAGTCCTAAGAGCAGTCAGCGTTCCCTGCCCTGTGGGAAGTCCAAGGTCCTCCCCCCTCCATCCAGGTCTATAAAGGTGAGCATCCAAACAAACCAGGCTCCCACAAGGTCAGTCCATGCAGTAGAATCAAAACCCTGTGCCTTTGTTCTTGGCTTCTCAGTCAGCCTTCATTGCCAGCCACATTCAGAGTGTCCGGTTTGATCACATGCTCCATCACTCCCAGTCCAGCTGGCCTTGGTGAGCTCCCATTAGATCAGTCCCACTGTCTCAGTGGGTGGATGCACCCCTCGTGGTCCTGACTTCCTTGCTTGTGTTCTCGCTCCAAAGTGTCAGTTAGGACCAGCACCATTACCACATGAGACCCTCAAACTGTTAACTCTGGGGCATAAACTCACATATACTACATGATAATCAGCAATAATGGAACCTAGAAATTTGTGTTTCAAATACTGTAAAAATGTTCTGATAACATCTTATACTGGAGAGTTTGTGGGGAAAAAGGAACACTTCAGAATTGCTGGTGGAAATGCAAACTGTACAGCCCCTTTGGATGTCAGTGTGGCAGTTTCTCAGAAAATAGGAAAGAACCTTCCTCAAGACTCATTAATAGAACTTTTGCGTATATATCCAAAGGATGCTCTGTAACATGAGATCCTGCTTGTTGGGGTTTCTGCCTGCCCAGTTCCCACAGCTGGCAAGTCCCAAAGAAAAGTACACAAAGGTCTCCATAAGATTATAAACTGATTGGCCCATTAGCTCAGGCTTTGTATTAGCTCTTATAATCTATACCAACCCATTATTCTAGTATATGTTAGCCACATGGTTCGGTACCTTTTCTGGCAGGGTAGGTAACATCTTGCTTCTTCTGTGATCTGGTCAGGACTGCAGAAAGAGCTTCCTTCTTCTCAGAATATTCCTGTTCTCATTGCCCTGCCTCTACTTTCTGTCTGGTTGTCCCACCTATGCTTCCTGCCTGGCTAATGACCAATCAGCATTTATTGAAAACATAATTGACAGAATACAGAATTGTCCCACACCAATGCTCAGTCGTGCCACAAGGACATGTGCTCAAATATGTTCATAGCAGCATTGTTTGTCATAGCCAGAACCTACTTAAATGCCCCCTTGATTGAAGAATGAATAAGAAAAATGTGGTACATTTGCACAATGAAGTACTACAAAGCAGAAAAAAATAATGACATTTTGAATTTTGCAGGCAAATGGATAGAGCTGAAAAACATCATTTTGAGTGAGGCAACCCAGACCCAGAAAAACAATTATCACATGTTAATTAGTACATGTGATAATTGTTTGATTTTAAAACTTAAAGCAAAGCAAACCACCCCACAAACCACAGTCCCAGAGAACCTAGATAACAATAAGAACCCTAAGAGAGACAAACACAGATCTAATATACATGGGAAGTAGAAAAAGACAAGATCTCCTGAGTAAATTGGGAGCATGGGGAAATTTGGGAGAGGGATGAAGGGGAGGGGAGAGACACGGAAGGAAGCAGAGAAAAATGTAGAGTTCAATAAAAATCAATAAAAAATGTTCTAATGAAGCATGCCTAAAAGAACCACTGGTACCAAAGTTTAAACAATGATAGTAATTCAGTCTGTCCTGGTGAGAGCACTGTGTGGTCAATGCAGTGCGTTTACATTTTGGTGGATCAGTCTAGGAAGTCGGAGTCCTTTCTTTGGAAACCGAGGGGTCTTTGGAGACAAAGAAAATAAGTAATTTTCAGGGTAAGGGCAAATATTATAGAAGTCAAAACTTAACTGACTCTCTGTAGCATACACATAGAGAACTAGACAACTTCTTTATTTCAAAGTCAACTTCTTTGATGATTTTTGAAGTAAACAAAGACGTGTCTTGTCAATAGTAAGTCTTTGTTCTGGAGAAGAAAGTGTTTGCGGGGATGAGTTGGTATACTGAACCACTGATCTGCATGTGAGACTATGTCATTACTGGGAAAATCGTGAAAGGAACAGATGACAAAGCTTGGAACTTGTTTCTTGTGATCTCCTTTCTTTTTCAGTGGAGTGGTATAATCTAAGAAATGTAGAGACAGAAGAAAATTTAACATGTATTAATAACACAAGACCCCTACCTTATTACTTTTTCTTTCTTCTTTTTCTTTTTCAGTTTTTTGAGACAGGGTTTTGCTGTGGCTTTGAAGCCTGCCCTGGAATTAGTTCTTGTAGACCAGGCTGGCCTCGAACTCACAGAGATATGCCTGCCTCTGCCTCCTGAGTGCTGGAATTAAAGGTGTGCACCACCACCACCCAGCTTTAGCTCTATCTTATAATGTGCTCCTAAACACAGATTCAGAACATAGCTGTGAACATCAGAAAAGTCCAACAAAAGAAACTAAAGTGATATTAACCAGACAATATAAAGAACACAATGTTTATTACACACATTGTGTGGCATTTTGAGCACCATGGGAAACATAAACTTGTTAGGATGAGCTCAAATACAGAGGCAATTATAAAGCCATACAAGGTTAAGCCATATTTACATTTACTTTTTCTGTTTTTTTCTGTCTTATTCATGACTGCAGATGCTCTGACATTCAAAATAATGTCAATATGGAAAGAGACAGTATGCTACCTATGATTTCTTGAGCTTCTTGAATTAATGGAGATCCTGTTGACCTTTGAGGAAGACTAAAGTCCTTTTTTGATTCCAGGCCACATAAGCCAGAGATAATGGAGATTTATGTTTTAAGGTGCTTCCATGGCACTGTGTCCACATCCTTAAGTAATTTTGAGGTATTATTTGGTTGTGCTGAATAATGCAGAATAATAAAGTTTGACACAAACCAAAGGAGGCTTCTCTAGAATGTTCTTTTCTTCGCCAAAGTTACAGATAATGATGAAGCACAGGTAAAAGAAAGACTACTGAGAATTTTAGTATTATACTGACAATTTTAGTATTACATTTTGTTTAGTGGATTGGGGTTCAGAGGACTTTGGGTTTTTCCAAACATGTGGGTTCCAGGGATTGAATTCAGGTTGTCAGGTTTGGTTATCCACTTAGCTTCCTTCCCATACCAAATTCTGTAGGATTCCTAACTGTTGATAGTGTTTGGGGAAGTTTTAGATTTGGTGATTTTTTTTCATTTTTGTTTTCTTGTTTGTTTATCTTATAGTACTGTGGATTAAATTAAATTACTGGGCCTTATACCTGAAAGGCAAGCACTCATTCTGAGTTATACTACCAGATTGGAAGTGGCAGTTTTTGCCTACAGAACTGCATTACTATATTGAAGAGCCTCTCTAATGTATTTGTTTAACTTCAGAAGCTGTTGGCCTACAGGAGAATATCATATTGTTAATACTTCTAAGTATGGAGTTTGGTAACAGAGACTATGCATCAGATACAGACTTGAGAACAGGGGAACAGTATGAAGCTTGCCAGTCCTAAACTCAGGGTGGAATGTCAGACAGAGCAGAGGACTTTTAAATAAAATCTCGAACATCACAATGCACATCAGAATGTGGGAGCTGAATAATAAAATATTTTTAATTCACAGTGAGCCCAAGTTTATGAATTTAAACCTTGAGTGCTGTTTGCATATGTAGGTATATGCATTCCATCCCAGGTATCTAGGTGAATTCCATCATCTGTACAAGTAGTGGGTTTTCTTTTCCTCAAAATCCTGCTTGACTCATGCTCAAGAACCAAGATAACAAGTAAACAAACAAAAAACAAAAACCCAAACAAACAAAAACCCTTTCTATTATAATTATTCTAATTTCCTAATTTGAATCAACTTGTGAACTAATATGTCACAGCATACAATTCCACTATTCCAGCTAGAAGTTTTCTCGTCTGAAGAAAGACAATTAAAATAAGCTAACTTTGCTTTAATGAAGTCATTCTCAACATTGCTATCATGACATAAGGTGTCAAGTCATTCGGCTGATAAAGGATTCTTTGTCTGAATCAAACAATAATCCAGCTCTCCCACAAACACCCTACCATTCATTCTATCCCAACTGACTGTGTTTTCAACTGATGATGTATTCATAACCCAAATCAAAGGCGTTCCATCTTCCAGGAAGATGAGAAGCCTGTTGTATAGCTTGTCAGTCCATTTTGAGAGGAGGATGGTCATTCAAAGTCTGTTTATAATTTAAAAGTGCATGCTGAGAGCTATGTTAACCTACTTTGAAGGATTTCTATTAAAAATACAATAAAGAATCCAGTTTACCAACCTCCTCTACAATATCTTCAGAGCAGTAACATAAAATCCTACTAACTCTATACTTTATCAGGTCAAGCACATTGTGTTTTGCTCCTCTTTTTTCAAAGGGTCTCTTTTATCCTGGGAAATGGGTCACTGGTGGACTATAACTTCATAGGAAGGTTTGTGAAGTACCTGACTAGGTCCAGGGGTAAACACTTTATTTAACAAGTCTAATAGCCCTATTTGGTGAACTATGACATATCTCTGCAAATATGGCAGTACATTGTTTGCTGAATGAGAACGTACTGGGTTTACAACCTAAGGGTCAAGTCCAAAGCAGATGACTAATCAGGTTAGTCACTGCCCAGACACAGAACATTCAAGTACCATAAACACTGGGCCAACAATGCACTTTTAATTATGATATCTGACTCCTTTCATTTAAATATTTACAGAATAGTTAATGAAATTATTGACTTCAATCTGATTTTCTTTCTATTATAAACTTTGCTTGAATATGTTGAAAAGTAATCTAAAATACTACCTTTGTCTCATATTTTGTGTCTTTTTCTTCACTTTGTTTTTCTTTCCATTATAAAACTACATTTTAATACTGTTCATTGGATGCACAGAATAATAGAATGGGTTAATTTAAGATGCAGGAGCTAGCTAGAAATATGCTTAAGATGTTGGCTAAACAGTATTACAATTAATATAGTTTCTGAGTGATTATTTTGAATCTGGACAGCTGAGCAGCCACCACCAACAGAATGATGCCTGAATGACTGAGGTTAACTTACATTGCAGAGCATACACTTTGAGTCCAGGTACTTGTAAGCCTGCTTGGGGTTAGGAAGGAAGTAGCTGAGAGCATGTGTGCTGCTCAGCACTATGGTCTGGGTAAGTGGCTGGACTGGGTCTGCTAGGCATGCACAGGCAGGAGAACATAGCAGATTCTAGCCACCATATACAGAGATATTTCCAGACTGTGCAGTGTGCTGCATGACAGATTTACCTTTTACTCAGGTCAGGAGGGTTTATATGATGCATGGTGCTATCCAGAGTTGAGGTGGTGAGGACAACTCCCACCCTGCAGTCTCAGAGGCAATGATTGGACCTCTGCCATATTGGACTGGCCAGAGCCAAAGGGCAAAGCAGCTTTAGTTCTAGCCACGCTGCTTAGCATTTAAAGAATTGGTCCTGGTCAGAAAAGGATTACAGATATGTAATAAAGACAGATTCAGATGAAAAAGGCCTCTGAATGAGACACAGTATTGGATACATGTATGTGGGCTTGGGGGAGGGAAGACAAAGAATATAGATTGTTATAAAAAGCAGTAAGTGGTGTTTAAAAAATTAAAACAAAGTCTTTAAAGAGACATAGTACAGATAGTCATAGATTAAAGGAGAAAAGAAAAATAAGCCAAATATTCCTCTATAGGAATTTTAATGCAGAGGGAAGATATTATCTTAGAATGGATCATTTTACCTCATAAAACAAGTAAATAATAAGAACTTATGTGGAAAAGATCTCTGAATTAATTATAAAAGGAAAATTGGAAATTTGTCAATCAGCAGGAACAGATGCAGCAGAGATCACAGTACCTTTTTCTAATGCTGAAATTTTAAAAAATAGTCATTGGAGGACAATGAACCCTGGCAAAGAACATATACTTATTTTTGGGGAGAGATTAATAACAGCTATGTCAAAAGTGATAGAATTGACCTTATAAAGAGAGGTAATTGGATCCTTTCTCACATTGTATGTAACACACCAATAACTGGAGTCTTACATTTTACTGGAGTTTTACATTTTATACTGATTCAAAAAAAATCACAAAAGGCATGTTACAAATCTGAATGTTTAATTAAATGGAATAAAGTCCATATAATTATATCCAAAAGGCAGATTTATATATTATTCTCATGGCACTAAGGGATTTTAAAGAACCTCTCAATATAGTTACTAACTTACAATATGCAGAAAGAGTTGTCTTGCATATTGAAACTTCTAAAATTGTACCAAATGATACAGAATTAACTTTATTATTTACTAAGGCGCAAAATATAATGAGGAATAGGCTTTGTACCATATGTACATAACACACATTTAATTCCATACAGATCTGCCAGGTCCTCTACCACAAGGTAATGCAGAAATTGATCGATTATTGATTGGAAATTTACTGAAGGCCTTAGAATTTCATAGAAAAAAAACATCATGTCAATAGCAAAAGATTAAAAAGTTCTTTTCTATTACATGGCAACAAGCTAAGGCTTTAAATAGATGTTCTACTTGTTCTTTATATAATCGAACACTAGTATCTGTAGGAAGTAACTCAAAGGGTACTCAAAGGAATGAAATCTGGCAGATGGATATGTTCCACTTTGTAGAATTTGGAAAATTAAAACCACACCATTGACACTTATCAGGTTTTCAATGGGCAAATGCTTTGAGTTTGGAAAAGTCTGATTTGGTAATCAAACATTTACTAGGAGTTATGGCCATCATGGTTATACCTGCACAAATAAAGACAGACAGTGTTGCAGCATGCCTTTTAGAAAATGAAACAGTTTTTTCTTAGAATATAAAGCATATTACAGGTATACCACATAATCCTACAGGTAAGACTGTTATAGAAATATCAAATCAAACTATAAAAGATATTTTAAGCAAACAGAAATGGACAAAATTGCCCCCAGAAACAGATTTTATATTGCTTTACTAATCTTGAATTTACTTAATGTTAATAAGAAAGGAACAACAGTAGCAGAAAAACAAAACTTCTGAATTAGATCAGCAAGCATATTTCAAGGATGTGTTGACCTCAGAATGGAAAGCAGGGGATGTGCTATGTTGAGAGAGGGGTTTTAGTCTTGTTTCTACAGGAGAAGAGAAGCTATGGATACCATCAAACTTAATAAAGATTTGGTTTGAAAAGGTGAAACCTTTTGATAAAGAGAAATGACAACTAATTCAAAGAGGTGACAATCCTGCAGGATGTAAGGAAACCTCATCCTTACATCTGTGTTGGGGCAGAGTTTTGTTCTTGTCTTTGCAGGTAAATACCTAACTTCCCAAAGTCAAGAAACCTTGAACAACTAAACGCTTAAAAAAGAAAAGGTAGCTATCCAGAAATAATCACCAAGCAAAGAGAAATCTGACTTAACGATATCAATATCCTCTGCTACGTAATTTCTTATTGACATACATATAATAGTAGTCACTACTTACTAAAAATCAAAGCTGACTTTTCAGAGGTAATAACATGTAAGTTGCTAAAACTCTTGGTAAAACATCTCTCACTCAGAGAGGTACTGGCAATGCTAGAACCTTTGTCTGTACCTCCCCTCCTTGCTTATGAGTTCTGACAAGTTCCTCAATCGATTCAAATCTTTTTGTCACTGATTTTTTTTGTAAAGCCTGAATCTTTTAATTGTGAATATTTCTAATGATTACATCAACCCAATTTATTTCTGGTTCTCATTCTGCACATGTGATTGCAAGGTTTCAAATTTTTCAATTAATGATATCTTCTCATCTTTAGATATTATTTGGATGATGTATAGATTGTCTTTCTGGAGGGATGTTCTATCTGCCAGCATATCATAACTTTTTAAGAGGTTTTTATTG